TTCACAACACATACTTTAACACATCAAATTTTTTAACCCGCCCGACGCAAGCATATTGCTGTATGCACCTCTAGCCACATAGGCTACCTTCCCATGTGCCGCTCATTCACTGTCTTACACTATTAAGTATAATTTTGAACCAGTAAGCAACATATGATACTGTCAGAAAACTGCTGAACTCATCATGCAAAACTAAGACTAAACATTATTTGTATCCCTATCGTTAAGTTTCCACATGTTCCTAATCTTAAATACCAAAATGTGCTAGTAATCATGTATACCCCACTGTTTTATTCGATGAAAAATCAGCGTGAGGAATACCGTTGGGGTACCTCGCGCCTGTTATGTTTCTATGCACAGCAAAAAAAAGAAAAATTAAAAAAACAAGGCCTATAGTGAAAAGAATAACATCCCCACTGTGAAGCATGGTAGTGGTTCATTAATGTTTTGGGGTGTATAAATTCTAAAGGCACGGGGAATCTTGTGAAAATTGATGGCAAGATGTATGCAGCATGTTATCAGACAATTTGCAATTGTTCTGCACGAAGGCTGCGCATGGAACGCTCTTGGGCTTTCCAGCATGTCAATGACCCTAAGCACAAGGCCATGCTGAACCTCCAGTGGTTACAGCAGAAAAAGGTGAAGGTTTTGGAGTGGCCATCAGTCTCCTGACCTTAATCCAGTTATGGCAGTTTAGTAAATAAGCTTGTTGGTATTCCTTTTTTATTTTAATCACCTGCCTACATATAATATAACTTTTTAATGATTCAAGGCAGTGGTGGAACTAATGTAGAGAGGGCCCAGGTGCAATTTTTTTTATTTGGCTCATCACTATCGCAAGGGCGGCCAAAAGGTAGATCACCATCTATTGTACAACTTCCACAGTACTGTGTTAGTTTGTAATCTACCATGTACCCATCCTTGGACGGTTTTATTTATGGATGAACAGTGTTTGTGAGTTTGAATGCAAGCATGTTTTTGTTGTAGTATGTGTGAATGAATGTAGAGCGTTGGCATTGAATGCAGGTATGCATTTGTGTGTAGTGTTAGTGTGGCGAAAGTAACCTCTCCACTTGGAGAGGCCTGCTTGCCAGCTTCTTGCCCTGTGACTATGGCCCCTGGGATATATTGCCCTTTAAAAACACTATTTGGGCATATTGGATTTTAAAGGCACTGTTTCTGCCCCTTGGACTTTTAACTGGATATGTTGTTCACCCAGATCGGGGCTGTGAAGAAAACCCCTTTTTTATGGACTTAGTTCGACTGTTTTATTCCCCTCCTAGAACACCAGTTAAACCCCTAATACCTTGTTACATTTAAATACCGTCTGACCCAATAACTGTCATATATTCAAACACTGACCTTATAACTGTCATTTTTTCTTTTCTCCTGTGAGGAGGAGTTATACTACATGAATACTGTTGCTTTGTGTGCCTTTAAACCGCTCTCTACCCAGCATTAAACCTCGGCTCATGTGTGAGGGGTTATGCTTGTGTCTACACTCTGCCTGGAAGGATTATTCGCTTATTACTGGGAGAAAGGGAACCCAAGACGGTCAGAGAGGTGTTGGACTGTCACAGTTAGTTTTTATTTTTAATGCAGGAATATGCTTGTATGTAGTGTTGATGTTTGAATGCTAAAATGTATGCACAGGTGTACACACACACACACTGGCAAAAAAAAAAAAAATTGCATTTAAATTTAACATGCCACAGGGACAAAATCATTTTGAGGTCAAACATAAGGGGTTAAGTGTGAAAGTGTGTTGATTGGTAAGACACAAATCTGCCTCATTCACATACTGAAATGAACACTGTCACTCATATAGAAAAACAGGCACACAGATAAACACATATACACACACTAACAAATAGACACACAGATGCATACACTGACCCACATATATACTAACTTACAATTGTGTACACAGACACACTAAAACACAAAGATTAACAAACAAACCATGACATACAGACAATCTCTGACTTCTATCCTCTCCAAGCCAATATCACTTGGAATGCTCCCTCTACCGGCTGCAAAACGTTTCCAGAAGCCCAAGACAGTTGCAATACTCCAACAGGATCAGACAGAAATTGCATGAAACTCTAAGTTGGCCTGGTCCAATGCAGCTGCATGGTGAAACTAATGGCCGTTCCTACTCCCTAAAATTAACACCCAGGTAGGAGAGTGCCTTTTGGAGGAGAAATAGAGGAGGGTCAAGCTTACAATCGCTATCTAAGAGCCAGGGGAGCCCTCGTTTTCCATGCAGTAAACAGACTATTTCGGTGCTGCGACAGCCTAAAATTCTGAATTAGGGATGTGATCTTAGCCTGGTCAAACTTCATTTGACAATTTCTCGGGTTAGGTACATCCGATTCAGGAGCTTTTTGGACATTTTACTTGGGAGAACAAGACCTATCCATGGATGTATGTCTAACGTATATTTAAAGAATGATTTTACGTTTTATTTGGCTACCTGGTGTCTTGGTACTTAAACTAATGAAATACCGTTAATTTTAGGGCAGAGGCACCAGGGCAGTAACCCATTGTTCTTGTGTGTTACGCCTACTGATGTTGTGCCTATAAATACAATTCTTTTCCCCAAGCACTATGTGTTGTCTAGTGTCTGTGGGGAACTATAATCAATGAAGCTGAGATTGTCTTCGGAAAGAAGATTATAAATGGAGGCACTCAGCTGGAGTACTTGGTTCCGTAACAGACACATGGTGCCTATCATACTTGTCCAATTTCTAGCCCCCCAGTTTCCTACCTTTTGGGTGCAAGAGAGTGACATATATTGGCTGAGGCTTTTGGGAGTAAATGGCTGTAGTTATTTGCGCCCCCCCCATCCTCTCCCTCTAGTTCAGTGTCCCATTATCTTGGAGGAAATGACTGTAACAGAGCTCCCTGTACTCTGACTGAGTACCCTCCGTTGATGGATGCTCCTAGCGCTTCCTGAGGACTCCAAACACTGCAGCAGACACCACAACCACTGCAGACTCCACAACCGCCGTAGCTTAACTGGAGTCTCGCCGTCTTCCTTCCACCCTGGATCAGTGAATTATCACAACACAATGTCACATTTTAAAAGGTGGAGGGAGACAATATTTAACAGTAAATATCTCACCTGCCTGCAAAATTAGCAATATGCAAATCTACCCGAATATGCAAATGAACCAGTCTTGCAATTCAGGTAGTGCATATTGCTGTTGCTACCAACAGAGGGCACTAGACAAGCTCCATAGCCAAACCCACCTAGTTGGTAGCAAACCTCAGCAATACAAGAGAGCAGGCAATACATTACACAGTACACACACACACACTATAAACAATTACATTACACACACCCTGCACCTATAATGGGTACAGGGTGACTAAAACATAAGATAAATAAAGCAGCCTACATAAATAGTCTGTCTGAAGGTAGACTAGGGGCTTTAAAGTCAGATACATGAAAGAGTCATAGTCACAGGGGAGGAGGCTGGCAAGTAGGCCTCTCCAGGACCAAGTGGCGAAGGGCACTTCGTCACAATGACCATGACTCACTCCCTCCCAGCCTTGGCTGCCAGTATAAAAGAGTCCCGGTCATACTGTTAAAGAGACGCAGAGCAGGTCTCGGCCCCTGAAGATAACTGCCCACCGGTTGTCCCTAAGTGCCTGGGCCACCACTGATTGAAGGAGAAGCTACTCTTACTAAACTCTGCAGGTATATACAGTGTCACTTTAGGCCAGGGCTTGACAAATCTCACCTTGACGAATCCCACCTTGCGCCTGGGATTTGTGAGCCTTTTCACTCCCGGACGGGCGGCCTGCTGTGCGATCTCCCTGCTCTCCTGCCTCGCATGGCGGTTAGTGATGCCGGAACTGGAATTTGATGTCACTCCGGGCCCGGAGGGAGCAGAGCAGAAAGATCACAGCTCCCTCGCTTTATGCACAGCTGGCCACCCACTGGACCCCAGGGAAAACAGATCCACTTTAGCACTCCCAAAGGTAGGGACGCTGGGTAGAATAGAGGTGCAATAAAATGTTTGTGTGTAGCTGTAAGTGTGCCTGTCTGTGTATGCCTAGGTTTGTCTTGGTATGTTTGTGTGCGCATCTGTCAGTGTATGTGTGTGTGTGTATTTAGGTGACCAGACCCCCCTCTGATCATGTGGGAATGGTGTTTATATGCTCCTTTTTTTTTTTTTTTAACCGGGGCTGGCCCAGTCTCTATGGATGAGATAATCACGATTGATCTCTGCCAATCCAATGCTGTCCCATGGGAAATCATGTGGTGGCTGACCAGTGATTGCTAGCTAGCCACCACATTAAAAAAGGGAAAACATTTGTGTGTTAATATGACCAGGCTGCGGGTGGGGGCATATATATTAAGCACTGAGCTGCCAGTGGCCATTGCTGCCCAGTCTCTAGAAAGGCTCCATCCCATGGAATAGAACCTGTAAAATAAAGGAGGGGGACTAAACTAAGAACTTTGGATTGGGGCGCTAAATTAAATGGAAACTATAGTGCTAGGAATACAGTTATATTGCTAGCACTGTAGTGCCCCCCTTGCTTGCGCACCTCTCCACGTAGTGATGAAAGGGTTAAAACCCCATTTGTCACCTGAATCCAGCGCTGCTGGGTCTGGCTCCGCCGTAAGCCGGCAGGGAAGAAGTAATGCACCTGCTCTGGCGATTGCATTAGGACTACCACATAGGAAAGCATAGTATCAATTCTTTCTTATGGAGTTTTAGCGAACGCTGGGTGTCCACATGCAAAGCGTGAGGACATCTAGCGCCAGGCGACCTCAAGTCTCTGAACCAAAGTGCCTCTAGTAGCTGTCTAGTAGATGGCCACTAGAGGTGGAGTTAACCCAAGATAATTATTGCAATTCTTTAACAACTACAATTGCAGGGTTACGCTGACAGGGGGACTGCATGGAGACCACTTCAATAAGGTGAAGTGGTGTGGGTGCCTATAGTGTCCCTTTCAGTAATGTGGGGGTGGTGGTGGATAGATCACTGCTTTCTAATTAGAAAGAGAAGACATGCTAATGTCCTCCCCCTGCCTTGTCCCCGTCTGTGGTCAGCAGGTGGGGGCTACTTTTTTAAATAAACAGGTGGGACAAAGTGGCCCTCCAGCCACCATCCATAGATGGGGGTATGGGTTGTTCATTTTATAATAACCCAATGGGGCCTAATGTCCCTATCCATATGTAGAAGGTGGGGGCTACTAATAAAATATAGAAGGGGGGATGGATAATGGTTTGTCCAGAAGAAAGAAGACATTTCATGGGAAGAGTGGTGTATTTTTGATTTGTGCTGCCCGAGGCATGATAGAACTTGGGCACCCCCTAATCTAAATTTGCCCCACCCCTTTCTGCTAAGGCCACACTTCTTCCTGTTAAAGACTAACACACATTTTAACTGACATACACACTCACGGACAAGCACACACTCACTGATGTGACACAATCTGACAGATACAACCACACAGACGCGCACACTCTCAGACGCACGGGCACAATCACTGACATGCACACTCACTCACAGACACACACACACACACACACATTGACAGACATACACACACTGATTGACAAACACATATTCACTGGCATATTCACCCAGTCTACCTACTTTTGGGAGAGCTGGATAGATTATTTTCCTGGGGTCCAGTGGGGCTGCTGGGGAGGCAGGAAGGAAGGCGTGCACGCAAAATAGGCAGCAAGTGAGCTGTGATTTTCTTGCTCATCTCCTTCGCGCGCCGCTTAGTGATGCCGGGAGCTGGAGTGACATCATATTCCGGCATCACTGCAGCACATACTGGGAAACTGAGCAGAAAGAAGGATCCTAAAGCTGGCCAACTTTTTGACCCCCATAAAATGAGGCTAACAGGGCATTTGCTTGGGTATTTGGGGGTGGCGTGTTTTGCCGCGCGCTGGAAAGTGCCGCCCAAGGCAAATGCCTTGTTAGCCTCGCAATACATACATCATTGGATGAAAAGTATGTATAAATACTTTTTCTTTTTTGTTTCTTATATTTATTGCCCCCCTCACTATTAGTAGGGTGAAGGTGGTAGGCTTAACTTTAAGCTACCTAGTGCTTCCATATTGAGAGGAGTCAGGGAACAGCACCTGGTGGATCCCAAATTAGAAGTCAAACTGTTACATTTTGACATGGCACTTCTGGCACTGTAACTATTAAAGTGGGTTTAACGGGGACTACCCCAAGATCCCATTTTAAATGTTTACTTAGAACGTTCACACCTCACTAACGAGGTGTGAAACCCGCAAACCGCAAGAGAAGCCTCGGCACGTGCCAACCCTGGTCTTGTTCGGTTCTCGAACGAGGCCCTCCCCAGTGCCCCTTGGAATGTTCTGTATTAGCTGAGGTAACCAGTCAGGTTACCCTCTCCACGCTACAATTTGTTTTGTCTTAACTGCTTCATTTAACCTTGATAGACAGTACCCTTCTTTATTGTTAATTAATGTCCATATCACAGCAAATTACTGTTTACTAATTTGTTTTATCAGTGACCTAAATTTGTCTCCTGAAATAAATAAAAAATCTGATTTAGAAAATATAATTTTACACAGCAGATTATAAATCCTGTCTTTACCTTGTAATGTACCTTTTTTTTTAACCCCTTAAGGACCAAACATCTGGAATAAAAGGGAATCATGACATTTCACACATGTCAAGTGTCCTTAAGGGGTTAAAAAGGCAATCCAAAAAACAAGTTCTGATCCAGTACACCACTTTAGGTGAATATCACTCAAATCTTATTGTTGCTTGTTGTGGAAGCTCAATGAAATTGTAGTGCTTTAAACCTAAACTTGTATGATGGACCATAATTTATTTTTTGCATTGCTACTTTATACTGGATGGTGGAATCAGAGCTACATCCAGGGTTGGATTAACATAGGGGCTGATGGAGCTGCAGCTCTAGGCCCATTGATTAAAAAACAAATTTTTTTTTTTTTTTTACTACTCTTTACATGCTCTTGCTTAAGTATGGAAACTTAAGAGGAATGTAGGGGAACAAAACTGGTGTGGACTGGCTGACAATGAAATTAGTTAACGTAAAGCTGACTTTGCGCGCTATGCAAATGCACTTGCTGCTTCACTCGCTCTAACACTGTGGCATGTTCTTTCTTCTACACTCACTACATACACCTTTTCTCGGTCCCCGACTGCATACCAGGAGCTTCTGTCTGCTAGTAGGAAGATTAGGAGAAGAGAGAAATAGCGAGTGCTAGGGGACAGTCTTTAGAAAGCATAGAGCTAGCGCATCATTAGACTCATGTATGGCAAGCTCAGGGTGCTGTCTGCACAGTATGCCCTTGGTTGGTCATCCTGCATTGAGAGGCAACCTGATGTGCATTCATACCAGGCTAATCCTCTAATTCTTCGTGCAGATAGCTAGGGATGTGTATGGGGAAAATTTTCAGTTTGGTTCGGCATTCCGAAATTCGGGACTTCGGTTTGCTTTGACACTTCGGTACTTCTCTTGCAGCTGCTTAGTAGATAACTCCCTTATTCCCACAGTATTAGGGAGTTATCTACCAAAAGGCTGAAAGACCTAAATTGGTCTTTCAGCCACATTTACCATTACTAAGTAAAAATTACTTAGTATTAGTAAATTTTGCCCCTACTCGCTATACCTGAGCGGTGGGTGGGGGCCCTAAATTAGAATAAGGGGGGGACCTATTGTCCTCCCCCACCCCTGAGCACTGGGTGCTGGCCCAAAATTAGAATAAGGAGGGGGACCTATTGTCCTCCCTCCTGAGCCCCACCCCTGAGCGGGCCTAAATGAAAATTGACCCCCCCCAGGTGACTAGGGGTCCCCAACCCCTAGTCACCTCCTCCCCCCAAAAAATAACCCCTACCTACACCCCTCACCTTAAAAATAATGAGGGGGGACCATAAACAAGATACCTGTAAAAAGAAACCAAAAAACTTACCATTTGATATCGTCTTTCTTCTAAAATCTTTTTTCAGCCCCAAAAAAGGCCAAATAAAAATCCATAATAACTTTGAAAAAAGATTTAAAAAAAAAAACAGAGCGCAAAAAAAATAATCAGTCTTCACCCATGGAGGGCACCACGCAGACTGAGCTCCGCAGGGCGGGCGAAGGCTTATAAAGCCTTGCCCCGCCCTGCAATTAGGCTCAGAGCACTCTGGTTGGCTGGTTTAAGCCATCCAATCAGAGTGCTCTGACAGGTAAATGAAGAGACTGACAGGTAAGTCTCTACATTTACCTGTCACAGCACTCTGATTGGTTAGCTTGAAATCCAGCCAATCAGAGTGCTCTGCGTCATTTTACACAGCGTGGGAAAGCTCTTTGGAATTTTAGTTGGACACACCGGAAAAGAGGGGTTGAGGGCCCTGCTCAATGAGCTTACATGCTAGAGGGAGTAGGGTAGAGTGACACAAAAGGTAAGGATAGTATTAGACCAATCACAGTTGCAAGAGACAAATCAGTCGGGAGCTATTAACAGTTTAATTGATCCGCTTTTATGAAGAAGTGGGTTTTTAGTGATTTTTTTTTTTGAAGGAGTGGAGACTGGGTGAGCATCTAACGGAGGAGGGAAGTGAGTTCCACAGGAACGGTGCAGCCCTCAAGAAGTCTGGAAGGCAAGCATCAGAGGTGGGAGTACAGATAGAAGATAGACGTAAGTCTTCAGCAGAGCGTAAGTGCCTAGACGGGACATACTTGTGTATTAGAGAGGATAGATCGGTGGGAGCAGCATTATGTAGAGATTTGAAAGCAAGAACCAGAATTTTAAATTAAGGCCTTTATCTTACAGGAAGCCAAAGTAGGGACTGACAGAATGGTGAGGCGTGGGAGGTATGGCGGACAGGAAGATGAGCCTCGCCACTGCATTCATTATGGACTGTAACGGCGCAAGTTGGGAGCACGTAAGTCCACTGAGAAGCATATTACAGTAGTCATAGTAGGGTCGGATGCGGGCGATGTTTTTGAGATGGAAGCGGCAGGATTTGGCGATAGACTGAACATGAGGCGTGAAGAAAAGGTTGGAGTCAAAGAGAACACCTAGGCAGCGAGCCTGCGTAGTGGAGCTGATGGTAGCACCGTTGACTTGGAGGGAGGGAGACACAGGAGTAGCAACACTTGAGGGAGGAAATACCAGAATTTCAGTTTTGGTGAAGTTGAGTTTAAGGAAGTGGGCAGCCATCCAGTTAGAAATAGCAGAGAGGCAGTCAGAGATTCTAGTCAAGAGGGACGGGGAGAAATCAGGAGAGGACAGATAGATTTGCGCGTCATCCGCATTGAAATGATATTGGAAGCCAAAGGAGCTAATAAGTTTACCAAGGGAGGCTATATAGATCGAGAACAGTAGGGGACCAAGGACTGTACCTTGGGGGACACCATCAGAGGGTAGTTGGGGAGAAGAGCCAGAGAAAGAAACAATGAAAGAGTGCTGGGAGAGGTAGGAGGAGCACCAGGAGAAAGCAATATCTTGTAGATTTATATATGCGGAGGATGACAAGAAGCTGTTGATGATCAACAGTGTCAAAAGCTGCAGAAAAGTCAAGGAGAATTAGGATAGAGTAGTGACCACAAGATTTTACAGCAAGTAGATCATTGGATACTTTGGCCAGTGCCGTTTCCACAGAGTGCTTAGCGCAGAAACCATACTGAAGCCGGTCTAGGAGAGAGTTGGACTCGAGGAAGTCTGTCAATCTTGCATACACAACTCTTTCAAGGATCTTGGACGCAAAAGGCAGTAGCGAGATAGGACGGTAGTTGGACTGGGAGTTGGGGTCAAGGTTGGGCTTATTTAAAATTAGGATTACAGTTGCATGTTTGAAGGACAATGGAAATATGCCAGAGGAGAGAGATTGAGAATTTTAGTGAGAGGTAGAGAAAGAGAAGAAGACACAGTACGGATGAGATGCGAGGGAATTGGATCTAGGGAGCAGGTGGTGGGGAAGAAGGACTGGAGCAGAGCAGAAACCTCTTCCGCTGTAGCAGGTGTGAATGAACATAGAACAGCAGAGAGAGTGAGGTTAGGGGAAGTATTGTAAGGAGAAGAAGAAAGATGAGGACTTGGCCGTGGTGTTTAAAAAATAATGCCCAAAGGACCATATTTAGTTAAAAAAAAAACAAACAAACAACTGACCCTTTAACTAAAGGCATATGTACATATGATATAAAAAAAACCAGTATCTGACATCCCTTTTTAAAATCCTAAATTTGTATTGAAGTATTGTG